GTAAGGTTTTTGAGGCGCTCGCAACAGCATAAGGTCATATCTGCGCCAAGGGGTTGATGTCAAAAGAAGTCGAAATGGGCAATCAGGCTTGCAACTCCGCTCACCTCTCTAGCCTCAACAGCACAAAGTCTGCGTCGCCTATCAAGGTACCCCGGAAATAGCAGTTCACAAGAGAGTGACAAACAAACAAAAAGAAGTAGAGGATAAATGACGATAGTAAGGATGAGGAAAGAAAAAGCAGCAGTTCCCCTTATGTTGTTCGGGCACAGTATGAGCATGACATTGAATAAATCAGCACTTTTACAATTCTATTGGGCATAAGAACACGTTAATATCTCCCCTTTGGAAAGAGAGACAGAGAGAGGGGGAGAGGGGGGGAGACAGAGAGACAGACAGACAGACTTGCGCGCTCATATGACCTTATATGCAGTTGCGGGCGCCGTAAAACCCTATACTAAACAAACAAGACAGACAGACAGGCAGACAGACAGACAGACAGACAGACAGGCAGACAGACAGACAGACAGACAAACAGATACACAGACAGACAGACAGAAAGAGAAAGAGAGTGATTGTGCCCACGCACAATCTTAAAAACAAACATGAGATTTTTTTTTAAAGTCCTACACAGATACAATAAGGACCATCAATGTTTGATTGATAGAGGAAAGAAGCGGCAAAACACACATCAAAACCATCCATGAACATCATGTTGAACAACAACTTCTTGTCTCCCTTACCAACAGGTAGGATAGAGAGAGAGTACAGAGAAACATCAGAACCAAGCAAAAGAGACCTCGTCTAATCTAAAACTACATTCACGAGGCTGCTGAAAAAAAGAACCAAAAAAAAAACCCCCAAAGTTTTTCACCGAGTCACGCCACTTGACATCGTTACGTTTTTAAATCTATCTGAGCCACCCAATATCAGCGGGAGGAAGAAGTATGAGCACCTTCAAACGCATGCAGGACGACTTCAACCAGATGGTGGATCGCCTGCAGGAGTACTCGGGCCTGGACAAACACTTGCTCAAGAACATCGCCATGTACGCCAAGTGTCTGCCCCGCAAGGACTCGGACATGATCGACGAGCCCATCTTCATGGCGCAGATGTCCAACCGGTTCAAGCTGAGCAACTCCTTCATGATCTCGCGCATCTACTCGGTCACCAAGACGGCCAAAGCGGGGCACGCTACGGTGGAGGAGTACTGCCGGCTGATCTGCACCTTCCTCACCGACAGCCTCGACACCCAGATCGACTTCGTCTTCCGGGTCTACGATACCAACCAGGACGGGGGCATCAGCCAGCTGGAGCTGGTGCAGCTGCTGCGGCCCTGCGTGACCAGCTCCGACGAGGACGTTGACCTGGACGAGGCGCTCCGCGAGCTCATCGAGGTGGTCATGCAGGCCACCGACACCAACCAGAACGGCACCATCGACCTGGAGGAGTTCCGGCAGCTGGTCAAGAAGGACATCCTCATGCTGCAGTGCCTGGGGCCCTGCCTGCCGCACCAGCAGGTCGTCAAGCAGTTTCGGAAGCTGATCGAGGGCAAGGCGGCCAACGAGGGGGCCGAAACATTCGCCAACGAGAGGAAAAAATCGCTGAAGGAGGTGGAGATCAAGAGCAAAGAAGGCCTGTATCCTATCAAACTAGAGCTACCATAAAAAAAAAAGAAAATTCAGTCTTTCTCTTTCCATTCCATTTCTTCAGTCATGAACTGTTTGAGTTTGAGTGTTCATTGTAAAGATAGTTTTACTTTCCACGCCTACCTGTCTTATGCTAGCACAGACATTAAGGCACAGTAACATTGAGAGCCATTGGCTATAATGGAAACAGAAGAATGTAATACAATGTCAATAAGAAACACATTTTAAAAATAAAAATACAATTCAAGAGAAACACCTAATAGAAGAACTGTAGCAACGAGATGTTTTTTTTGTTTTAGTAAGTGTTTTTTAGGTTTTAGTAGAGGTTTTACGGCGCTCGCAACTGCATAAGGCCATATGATCGCCATAACAATAGATGTGTTACAAGAGAGTAGCAAACACAAGAAAGAACAAGGGGAGATAAAGACGATAGATGTTTGATAGGAAAGAAGAAGCGAACCACACCAGAGCACCCGCCAATCACCCACTAGTAAGTGTTTAACAGCACTTGCAACACAATAAGGTCATATGAATGCCAAAGATTAGAGGGGTTACAAGAGAGTAACAAACATAAAAAAGAAGGGGAGATAAAGACGATAGATGTTTGATAGAAAAGGAGAAGCAAACCACACCAGAACACCCGCCAACCACCGAATAGCGACCAGATGGCTTCTGCCCCCTCCCCCCTCCCCCCCAAAAAAAAACAATCATAAAAAGAAAAATTACAGGAACAGCCAAACAGCAGGACAGACACAAAACACGACAGAATAGAATACTCAAAGAATTTCCAGCCTTTTCAAGGAGGTTTTTCAACACCGGTAAGACCAACTGTAAAAATAAAATGGTCGCTTTTAAAGACAAGCGGGCTAACCCAGATTTTGGGGGGTTTTCCAGAAATCTTGACCTACACCAAAAGTGGGCATTGCCCTACCTGTTGGAGGAGTTTGGTTTCATTGGTGTGTATATATTTGTTTGTTTATAGAGAAAGGTCTCCTTTTTTATTATAAAATGAAACTGAACAAAGGGTAAAAACATTACCTTCGATTTTCTCAAAACAGCATTTTTCGGGGGAGAGCCCCCTTGTGCTTAAAAAGCGACCAAATGGTAAATACAAGACAAGTCATACAAAGCCAAGCCATTACATTTAGATCAAGGATGGGAACCATACCATTGAAACGATTGAAAATGGGCAAAAATTGACCCCAAATTAACGCAAAACGGGCACACTTGACTGCTAATGAATTAAGATGGTAAAAATGAAATTTTATAAAGTCTATAGATCAAGGTGGCAGGTTTATTGTAGGCTACTTCTGTAATCTAGCCCAGAATACAAAATTGTTCATGGTGAGAGAAAAAACAGTTTCATATTTTTATAATTGACAAATAATTGACTATTCTCTTGCTGTCTATTTAACGTACACAGAAGAATTTTTCCAGTACATGCAACCTACAGATGCTACGTTTCTAGAAAGGGAGTGTATACAGACCCGGTAACCGGGAACAAAGTCACAAAGTAAATAGACCCGGTAGGGGAACTCTTTTGTGATTTCGGAGAGTTTCTGCGCCCTCTTGGCTCAGGGTAGACCTAGGTTCTTCTACACTTCTAGATCTGTGGCCTAGGTCTAGATCTAGATCTAGGCAGACAGGCATAAATCTTTAATCTAGTTTCGCGGCTAGCCTAGATCTAGACCTAAATGAAGATTGC